TCTCTCTCTCTCCCTTTCCTGTCTGTCTTTGGCTGTCCTGTCTAACAGAGGGAAAAAGGCCCCAAAAAATATTTAAAAAATAAATAAATAGGGCCATGTATGTACTCCTGGTATTTGGCCACAAGATGTCCCAGTAACTCTATTTGAACTGATTTCTCTAAAGTATTATATAGGAAGTTATCATACATCTGCAGAACATTACAATTAATAAGGATTATGTCATAATTTATATTGTAACTGCAAAATCTGATTATAAATCTGGTAAAACTCAAATCTTAGTTCAGAAGCTTTTACTTTGTTTCTAACTCACTGTATAATTCAAAGTAAATCAACATTAAATAATCAGGATCAGGTTTCAATGAATATAAAACCAGCCAATAACAAATAAACAAAATACTGTATATCTAATTCTGACAATGTATTGACGACTGAGAGTCAATCATCAGTTCAATATGTGGACTCTCTCAACTGCAGACACACACACAAAGAGACACACACACACACACAGGTCAAGGTAAGTTGCCCAGTATTATGCCGTAAGAACACAATGTTCATTGGTCCCAAGGGGAAAGATATTCTTGAATGTACCCGTAATATTGTCTCCAAACCCTGAAGCAGCAGAAAATGATTTTACCATTTATATGGCAGATGGGTTTCATCAGACACGTTTATTTTCCACTCTGACCTTCTATAAACTGATCTCAAATACACAGATTTGTATCTTTAAAAGAAAAATATCCTCATGGACTTTCATTTAGGGGTATGCCATTTGTTATATCCCGCTGTGGCCACATTTTCTTGTTAAGAACCGAACAATTCAAGGGAAAAACTCAAATACTCACAAACTCCCTGTGCTTTGTATTTACTTATTATTGAAGACAGTCTCTTCTTCAGTGTGTAGGATTTAGTGGCAGCTATAGCGGTGAAGTTGCAGATAAGTGAATACTTTATCCTCCCTTTCCAAGTGTATAGGAGTAACTCATTGGAAGAGGACCTGCTATCTCTGTAGATATATTTTTTGGTTCATTATTGACGAGTAATTGTAATTGTTTCAAACTCAGGATAACACAGCAACATTTTAAAGAACCCATACTGTTAAAACACAATAAATCATTTTCTTTCTATTAAAATGAACAGTAGCTGTAAACAGTGGAATTACATATCGTAACTTATCTATAAATATATTTGTGGAACTATGTACTATTTAAGTAAAGAAACCCCCTCCACTCCGACTTGTATTCACTCATTCGCTTCTTCAGTTTTATTCCTCGATCCTTCTATCATCACCTTACTCTCCTCAGCTGTCTTTCTATGTTTCCCATCTGCCTTTCTCTCTCATGTCTGTATTTCTCCCACCCTCTGAAATAATGCCAGCCTTTACCCTCAAATTCAAAAATAGAAAAACTCTATTGAGGTGCCAACACAGCAGCATGGTGAACACACACACACACACACACATAGACTAGCAGTACTCTAACTAAAGTTTGTAGTGTCTGTTCCTCTGTATTGAGCAGTAGTGAGGATAAAGAAAGCGGAAAGGGTGAAAATAAATACATACATAAATAAATAAATAAAAAGTCTGAGAGAGATGGAAACAAGGGAGGTGCACAGGCAGAAAGATGAAAGATAAAATTGAGATTGACGCAGAACAGTGGAAGAATAAAATTTGTGTGTGTGTGTGTGTGTGTGTGTGTGTGTGTTTGTACAGATGTGTTTTAGCTGTAGTTTTACTCAACCGGAAGATTGGACTATTACCCATGGAACTGCACACACACACACACACACACACACACACACACTTTCCCACATCCAAGCCGTCCAATCTATATGAGTTGAGTGCGACAGAAGGTCACTTCAAACAGCATACCAGTGCCATTGAGCTCTTTCCTGATCTCATCATTTTGGAATATTTGTTCATCCCAAAGGAGAAATCCATCTTTTTGGCCGGTGTGGTTGAAGGACAGTATCTCTAATAACTAACCTGCTGCCATGTCACCTCATAAAACCTTAGGCAGTTTTACAGACAGTCGTATTACACCGTGGTTCCTACTGACTGTGGTCAAAAGTTCAACTGAAGTCCATCTGAAACATTCTATAAAATATTTAGCTGCACGCATTTGTACAGAAGCCAAGAATTTTTAATGCAGTTTTCTCAAGATCAGTTAATCATTATATTCTCGAGAAAATAAGATAATTAACCAATTATCACAAAAAAACAAAAGGTTGTCTCGTCTTATTACTTGTGTTTATCAGAGATCAGGAGTGCTCAAGCAGCAGCAGCAGCAGGTCCTCGAATGGACACGTGAGGCTGGCTACAGAAGTGAGTCCCCATAAGCTCCTTAATGTCCAAACTTTACAGCAGAAATAAACATGTTTAAAACCTGATACAAAAACAAACCTGGTTTCAGTCTCTATATCTAAATTCCCTGTATGGGGTGAAATTGAGTATTTTCAAGTAGTTTCAATTGTCAAACTTATATATTCCTAATATCTTTATATATTATCAACAGTGGAGCTGTTTGGCCTTCAACTGGAAACTCTGAGACCCTGTGAGTGCGAATGAGCAGACACACCTTTATAACCACACATGAACTACAGTCACAGTCAAGCACACAAATACACTCAAACATCTCCATGCGTGACTCACTGACGTGGTTTCGCACTGTAGTGGCTCATTATTTCACAGCTGGTTGGTCCACAAACATTCTACTGACACTCACTTACAGGAATGGAGATTACACTGTAATTGTTAACATGAGTTGATGCCTAGTATCTGTGAGTGTTTGTGTGTGTGTGGGTACTGTCACTGGATTTCATTTAGAAAACACTTTTCATTCTCACGCACAGCAGGCAAACAGATAGAGAGACAGAGACATGATGCAGAAAATTGGACCATCAGGCAGCAATGTTGTTTGTACAGATCACACCACACAGAATGTGCTGTTATTGTTAAAACAAGACTTCTGCTGCCCCGACTGGGTGCATGTGCTTTGGTTGAATAGAAACACCAGAGCATAATTAGGCTGATGGTGCGGTGGGATGATGCTGGTTTGCTGTCCAAAGCAATAAGTCCATGGTCACTTTTAGCTGGCCCTGAGGCATTCGGTCCTTATGATCCCAAACATCTGAGGCACAAGATTTTTTTTTTTTTGTCTTTGCAATTTCAGTGGTTAATAAGAGCAGGGGACACTTTTTTACAT